CTGAGCTGAACAGAAGCACCTGAATTTTTCACTCCAAGAAAATTAATATTAATTTTTGGGGGGTGGGTGGAACTGTCTTCACAGTCAAAACTACTAGCACACATTTTTCCCAGTCATTAGGGTCTGCAAAACAGTTTTCTTCACACCTCCTTCCTCCCCAAAATTATACTAACAGTTTAGAATTATGGATGAAGACATTGCTTCTTTACAAATTCTGAGAACTTGTGATCTAAAACCAGTTAGAAACTGTCCAGCAGAGATAGTCTTCCTTCAAAAGCTATTTTCCACTCAAAATTTGCTAAGGTTGCCCTGAGCTGTGTTTCTCTGGCAATCCTATTACCTTGAGGTGACATATTGTGTTGTGAGATTTTTTCCCTCTGCTGGCCACCACAGGGACTTGCTCCTAGACTTTTGTGAAAAGTTGTGTCCCATGCACGCACTCTTCCCACTAGGTCCGAACAATCTTGTATAGGCAGTCTGTGAAAATTAATCAAAGCAGTCATCTGGTTCAATCAGCAGTCATCAGTTCATTCAAAACACTACCTCCACCTGCAGAAGTTTAGAAAGACAGAGCCATAGAACACAGATGACTCAGACCTCTTCAGCAAGTTTAAGGATTCTCGTGAGCTTCTTCAGTGTGTTTTTCTAAACAGATGCTCATTCTTGAGCATTTCACACTTAAAATAACTCCAAAAGAACTCAAAACCAGCTAGACTTAATTTGACTATGAGGAAACAGGCATACAGATTTTAAGAGTCTTTAAGCACCAAGTATTTAAAATATGCTTTTTTATGAGCACAAAATGAAAACAGATTACACACTAGAACTCTGTAAACCTTGGAGATAGACCAGTTCACTTAGTCAAAACTATGGTGAACAGTCCTTTTTTCCACAGCAAGACAAAGCTTCTTTGAAGAATAAGAAGGAATGAGAGAAGTTTTACCAACAGTTTAGATCACATACACCCTCTCATTATGATGCCATTTCACCAAATTCAAAAGGGCATAAAGAGGATCAATATTAAGAAAGCAATTTATTATTTAAATTTTTGATTCTTTGACACAGTTTTTTCCTCCAGCCCTTCATTCCTACATAAATTTCATGAAGAAGGTTGTAGACCCTTACTTCTAAGAAGATACTTTTAAAAATAAAATATTTTAAATCATCTTACATAATTATATTTCTCTAGCTTTATCTTTCTTTCCACATGCACACAATTTCCTCTACTCTTCCCCTCTCCTTATAGTGACTCAGCATTTCTGAGATATTCAGGCCAAATCCCACAAACTATTCATATGGCTTGTATTCTTCTGGCAACTCTAATGAAGTTCTATGAAAAGGGGTATACTGAATAATATCCATAGTTAGGGAGTATATACACATCATATGCTCATAAACGGCATATTAAGTCTCACGAGAAAATACAGGTTAAACGATGTATAGTTCCAAGAACAGTAAAAAAGACAAAAAAGTATTTTTCTTTCTCAACTGTCCACTGTATATGTATATAATGTCATCATATTTGTCTTTACTTTTTGTCACATGCTAAAAATCAAACCTAAATATAGATTTCTTTCTTTACCTAACTGTAAAGATATTTTGGCAATTTTCTTTTTATTACTAATGTGGGAGACAGCAAAATCTCACAAGTATGATTTATTACAAAATAGCATTTATTTCAATTCTGTGAAATGATAAAAGCAAGTACTAAAAAATCCTGCCCCTCAAGAAAAAAACCCAACCCTTGTGTATCTTTCACAACCCAATTGCCTTCTGTTTTCTTTATGGATTCTTTTCCTTTTACACCCTAGGCAGACTTCGTCCTCACCCCCCAATTATTGCTCTACAGAGACGATTATAGCAAACGTTAAATACAACAAAATAACCAAAATATTTGTTATTATATCATTGTTAAAATAGACGGAAGGGCAAAGAAATTACTTCACGCAAGGAAAGCCACAAGATGCAAGTTGTTGGGGGGAAGCCCCCTATGGTGGTCTGGAAGCAAGACATGCAAAAATCAATCCAGACAAGGAACATAATCAACCCTTTCCTTCAATTAAATGGATCAAAGCAATATAACTTTCACGCCAGAAGAAAGAAGTCAACATAATGTCACTCTCCATGAAGCCCCAAGAACCCTTCTGTGGGGAAAAACTGCAGCGTTAGCATTCCCTATGCTTGAAAGGGACATGGTGAGTAGAAAGGAGATCCACTTAACACAATACTCAGCATCAAGCAAACCCAAAGAAATCAATACCAATTCTCTCAGCACTGATTTCTGCAGAGCTTTACTCCAACAGATACATAATATAAGGTAGGGCATACAAAGGATAGGCAATAGCAGCAATGTCCTCGTGGGCAAAGCTGGGTAAGTAAAGAGATTGGCAGACATTCTCCTCTGTGGATTCCCAAGAAAAAAAAAAATCATGTAGAAACCTGGAGGAAGCACTATTCCCAAAGGCAGGTCTGCGAGCACTTGCAAATCCCTTCCTTCCCACAGCCCTCTCCAAAGAAGGGAATAGAAAGTTCCTCAGTGTTTAAGCTTATTTAAAAGTGGTCTCACTTTAGAATCATAGAATCATAGACTGTTTTGGGTTGGAAGGGACCCCTAGAGGTCATCTAGTCCAACCCCCCTGCAGTGAGCAGGGACACTGCTAACTAGATCAGGTTGCTCAGTTAAAGGGGTATTAGCTCTGAATGTTGTATTCTCTTAAGTAGCTCCACTTTCCAACAATCAGTCTTTCTGTGCCATCCATAACATATTGATGTATTCAAATGCATCCAGAGGCACGTACTGGTATCCAAGTTCGATAAGCTAGGAAGCAACCTTTCTTCCCATTAAAACATCAAAACTATCTTTTTTCCGTACTAATTCCACATCTGAAATGGTACATAATCAATATCAACAAAAGTATATATAATGCATAATAAATGCACTTTCTAAAGTTCCTTTTGAAATTAAATTCAATAGGTAGGAATTGCATTATAGCCAGTTCCTTCGGTAGTATCATATACACTGATCTGCTCTGCTCTCTCTCTTCTCTACCGTTGCAATCTCTTCCTATACAATCATCTTTACTTTCACTTTAGCTTTTTAACCTGGAGAAAGAAGTTAGTTTTTTAAATAAGAATTAATAAAAATAGGATGGAATAATTTTAAAGTGTGCCTCATAAATTTAAATAGGTTTACTTCTTTACCAAGTTATTTCACAAAACCAAAGTTTGTTCAATCGCATGCAATTTCAGAAAAAAAAATACTATCTGCATCTATACAAAATGAAATATTAGATCTTCTCATTAAAAATGAAAAATGCAGGTATTGTTTGACAGAAACTGGTAACACTTCACAGTGTTCTTCACTGGTCACACACTGGCAGGAAACCAATACTACATTTATTAGGTAGTGCATGATACACTCAAAGCCAAGTAACTCATGTTGTAAGTTCAGGCTTCTAAAGAAACTTCCTATACAGAAATGTCTGCAGTCTAGAGCTATTTTGGAAGAAACATTTTGTTGATAATAGTACACTATAAGTCAAGACACTGGAATCTACACTGATCAGACAAGTCAACTTTGCATAATTCCCATTCGTTTTATCTACAGTTCAGCTCCTGAACCATCCTAAAATTCAAAATAATTATTTTTAAATTAACACAAGGGAAATTACATTCTTGTTTAATTACATATCCTCCCTTAATTCCCCAAAACGGTGGCAAGGACCACCATTAAGTCTCAAAGACTTACAGAATAAACCATTCAAACACAATTCCACATCACACATTATAATTTTGAAAATTCTGCAGATAACCCTCTTTTTACCCTACCTTGTCGTGTTTCTGCTGGTACCTTGCCCTAGTATCCAGGATATGGTAAGGAGTTTCAGAGTCTCTGTTGATGTAATAGATTAGTCTTGAAGGCAGCGTGATTTCTTTCTGGATTGCACTATTGTAGCTGTTATTTTTACTGTTACTGCTTTTATTCTGTTGAAATGTATTCTCTTCATCTGCCAGTACTCCCTCTATACCGCCTGCCGTTTCATTCCAATGCAGGTCTGAGGAAGAAAGATATGCCAGCCATAAATTAGATGGCAGAATGTGTTTATTTCCATAAAAGCTACATATTTAGCCTGCAATATTCTAATATTTTATTGATCATTCAAGCAAACAGAAAGATAGCTTACTCATTGAGCTAGATCCGATTCATTTTTCACACACAAAATGGTTTCAGAAATAACATTATTTATTTAAAGGCATATACATTTTCATATGCAGTCATAGATCATAAATATTTTAATGCCTCTCTACCTCCAAAAGGAAAAAAAAAAAAAACCACAAACACTTAATGGATATGTAGTTACCCCCTACACACTCTCTGATAGCTAAGTTCTCTTCTGTCTCAAAGACACACACAAAAAACCAAATATACATCTACAAAAGGCTAAGAACACTGCCCATGTTCCTAAGACAAACTGAATTCAGAGTCCATGCACACTGAATGCTAATCAAACCTTTCATATAATAGGAAGTTTTCTACCTCTCTAACTTTGACAAGAGCCCTTTTTTTCAGTATCAGCTTTTCAGAAGAAAGCCTGTATCCTTCCTCATTAATATTTCGAGATACAGTCAATCAACAAGCAACGTAACAATAACATTAATAACATGATGCACAAACCGACTATATTCAGTATTCCATCTCATCTATATGCAATTAAAAGCAAATAAATAAAAAGCACAAAAATCCAACCCCAAACCAACAAACGAGCTTTCCAGTCAGATCCCCGCATACACACACAAAAACCACCTAAGCCTCTTTTTGTCGCATACCTCACCAGCGTATTTCTATGCACACCATCCTCTATCTAAACCACCGCAGCGCCGGCTTCAGAAGATCAGAAGGGGAAACCTCACATTTCTCTCGGGTTTTGTTGGTGGTTTTTTTTTTTTTTTGTAAGCAAGCAAGCCAAGGAAACATCTTCTGAGCCCCATTTTTCTACACGCCGAAAGAGACACGTACACAAAGCTGGAAGGGGCGGAGGGAAAAATCGTGCAGGGAAAATGGATGTTATCGGGTTTTATCACCCAGGGCGGCGGCAGGGGGACCAGGGGAGGGGGAGAACGGGGACCGAGGAGCCGCAGACGCCTCACGCACACCAACACACACACGCCCCGTCATACCCACCGGCGGCCGCTGCAACCGCGCGGGCCCGGGG